AATGAGACACTGAAAATCCCGATTGACTCTGAACCTTAGAAGTGGAACCAGGTGTTGGAAATGTTTTTAGGCAGTTCGGGATGCGAAATCAGGTCCTCAAGAATCAAAACTTGGCTTTTTTTAAAGCAAACAAATTCAAACATCTGATAAGACAGGATAATTTGCAATTGTGAAAAAAGCTGACACATTAAAAGTGGTGATCTTATTCCATTTCAAAATGTGGCCATTTAGCTTCAACCTTAATATCTGTAAAGTTGTAAGTATTCACATGTATTTCAGAAGTACATCAGTGTACAAGAAAACTGATTATGTCTCTGAAGCACGAAAAAGCGATAAGTCTACCACACCCGTTCAAAGCACAGGCTGAATAGTCCTCAAGCTCCACCAAAAAACTTTTAGTGGCAAAGCAAGGTTTTATATATAATTACATATATAGAGATATATATACCGTGTGCCTGTGCCAGGCTATCTCTACCCAGTCTCGGCTAAATGCTGCAGAAAGCAGAGAGAGCAGCACTGAAATGGTTCATTTCGAGTAAGTGCGGCCTCGAGCTGTCATGTTCCGTTTGAGCAAACACGCTTCTGCGTTTACCCCAAGTTTTACAGTGGCACACGCGTGGTATCATACGCGGCTCCTAGTAAGCTGCTTGTAGTTTACTGATTGAACGTAGCGGATCATAATCCAACCACTACATTTCGAATCCGAGAAAGTTGTGTATAGTTCAGTCACCCTAGCTACCTCAGTCTTGAAAGCATCTAAAATGTCTTGCGCGTGTAGATTGGCACTGTTCAGTTGAAGGGTGACGCCGTATATCAATGTGCAAACAGTACGTCAAGGAGAAAACACGTATGCTCAACTGGATTTTGGAATTATCCGGAATGCTAGACTGAATCAGAATCAGGCTTTTCGTCGTTTCATGCGCCAGTTTTAGGCACACGAAGCAGCTGTTTTGAAAACCATGGTGGTTGACATATTGTTTAGGAATTCCCACTGCTCATTCTAGAATCAAGTAGGTGGTGTACAAATGACAAATTTCCGCCGTCGGTTACATGTCGGTCATGTCTCGCATTTTTCTAGCGGATATGTGCTTCAGTCATCTCAACGGAAAAGCAAACGGAGAATTCTTTGACGGCTTTCTTGCAGTAGGCGCCTGCGTATTCCCATGTATTAGTTTTTCCAAAAAGGGACTAGGAACTGCGTCCAGATGATATTCACTATTCCTAATTAGAGATATTCTGTAAAATGAGATCGATTAGCTAACTCACCACCAGGGACTGAACCGTCTACGTCATTTATTATTTAGCAAAAGTATGCCACTTAACAAAGCAGCACACGCACCGCTGGAAATGATAAATGCAAATTCACAATCTGGTGGGCTACCATTTTCGACATAACGGCCATCCTAGTAAATAATATTGTGTGTAGCGAAATACACTTATTTGCAAACTAATTTGGTTTGCGAGGGAGCTTTCTTGCAGTAGGCGCCTGCGTATTCCCATGTATTAGTTTTTCCAAAAAGGGACTAGGAACTGCGTCCAGATGATATTCACTATTCCTAATTAGAGATATTCTGTAAAATGAGATCGATTAGCTAACTCACCACCAGGGACTGAACCGTCTACGTCATTTATTATTTAGCAAAAGTATGCCACTTAACAAAGCAGCACACGCACCGCTGGAAATGATAAATGCAAATTCACAATCTGGTGGGCTACCATTTTCGACATAACGGCCATCCTAGTAAATAATATTGTGTGTAGCGAAATACACTTATTTGCAAACTAATTTGGTTTTGCGAGGGACTCACCTGGAACCCAGCTGAATCTCTCGTTTGTGATGTCTCCAGACAACTGAATGTGCTGCACCAGGCCGCCTCATATTTCACTTGGTACGATATTCCAGATATCGCGATACATGTATATTCGTAATGCACTACTCACACGACTGCTGAAAATTGGTCAGCAGCTCATGTCCGGTTTCGCCCTTCTTGGATTATGTGTAGTTAATAGGCGACACATGATGTGCTTAGGGTATAGCATTGCGGAGGCAAATGGAGTGTCGTTTCGGAGTTATAACGGGTGCATACCCGATTCGCAGGGACCCTGTAGGCGACTTTCAAAACGCAGTTGACATCTACCTGGTGTTTGGTTTTGACTTGATTAGCAGTAGTACTGCTGGAAACATTCCGTTCGGGGTATTTTCCTAGTGGGACAAGTCGCCACACGCCCCAAACCTCCACCTCGTCAAACCCACCTGGTGTACTTTTCCTGAAACGAGAAAACCTATATCAAAGTTGGCAAAGGATGTAACGGATGATATGCTTGCACATTATGTCAAGGAGTCTCACCACAAGTGCGCCAGAATACGTGAGTGAATATCCAACGAAAATTTGGAGTCTGAACAAAGGAGCATCGATCGCTGCGCGTGACACAGAAAATGGGGGCTAAGGTGACTTTATCGTCCCACACTATGCTGTTCGAGCTTCACGTTTGGTTCGCGTTTTCAACATAACCGCTGGGCTCAACGTGTCACTAGAGCATTCGAACGAATCAAAATGTTTGGTCGATTCCATGCGGCTTAATAGCAACGAAGGAAAAGCGTCTCTTAACAAATAATTCAAATGATAAATAAACGATAATATTCCTTGTAAATACAGTCTATCACTTGAGTCGTATTTTGCTTGCCTTGACTATGGGCTGCGTTTTCTGGTAGTCGCGCGTTTGGATGCTACTTTAACTGTTTTAAGTAGTTAAATATCTTGATGAAAGTACGATAGCCACGCATCGGTCACAGGAAGAAATTCCACAGGGAAGAAATTCGTAAAGCTGGAAGCGTCTCACAGTGAAGGAGGACAACTTCAGTGAAAGTCCTTTGTGCTACATATGAGAGTAGGCTCGAGACAGTTCACTACCAGACTCGAACATGGAAGGACGCCCAGGGAATCGGCTGAAATTCTCGAGGGTCGGAACGAGCCCTTGGATCACACTGGTAACTGTGGCATGGATCATTCTGCTGAAAGCTCCACTAAACCTCAAGCCGTTACACAAGAGTTCACTGAGGGCAATCTCCATCCAGTCACACTCCACTATCTGACGCTTTATCTAGGTGGCTTCCTCTTGAAGTACACGATTTCTCTGATGACGCAAACGTTAGGAAATACCCGGTCTTACATGTGAAGTAATTTTCACTCATAGTCGAACGTCTACTGTACATATCATCGAGATGCACGAGTACAAGATAAAAATTGAATCAATTTATTGTTTGGAGCGTTCTACTACACGAGATGTCAAATGACCGGTTTATCAGGCAGTCATTTTATCGTTCATGATGAACCTGGGTGCAAGCATCCAAACAACCCATAGGAAGGCAAAACAGTGAATGCGACCAACGAATTCAGGACTATAGAAATAGTCAGTGTCAGTTGCACTAATTCAACTGCAAGCGGTTGTAAATATTGAGCACCGGAAACTAGGTAAACAAGTCATTGGTCCAACCCTTCCGCAAAATTGGCTGTTGCAAAAGTTTGTAGTGTGAAGAGATTTGGGTTTTTGAGGAGATTTCGTCCTGTAAGTGAAACCAATCTATGCTGGAAGCACAGTGTTTTTCGGCTTTTCAGTATAGATTGGCTTCATTTATAGGGCAAAATCTGTTGCAAAAGTGCTGGGTAAATGTGGACCATGGGTTTTTCCGACTTCCGTATTGAGGCTGATTTTATCGTGAACTTGAACCCGACTATGTCTAATGTCTACAGACACCAAGCAGTTGTTTTACCTCTTTTGAAAGTCATCAACGGATTTCTAGGAAAATTCAAAGCCACCATTCCACCATGTCATTTGACCGTGAGTGGCTGGTCAGCAATGCGATTAATTTACACTTAGACAGGATAAACGGCCACCACACGTCACACAATTCGTGTTGAGTAACTCGATGTTGACTGGCTCCTCGAGTGTCGACTTCGTGCAAGAAAGGCCCATGAGGCTTTTGGGATCTTCTTCTCAGAAGATTTCTTCCAGTTTGTGGGTAATGAATGAGTCGAAGGTTTCAGCAGAAACAACACACTGCATGTGAGGTCGATTTATGCTTAAAAAGCTTGTACAGTTATTTAACTCTCATCAAGAGGCATCAGCAGTACTTTTCATCTCATTTGGACTCTTAATTGAAACTCAGGTCTCCTTAAAAACCTCGAAAACTGAAAGTAAGTTGCTGGGGAAAGAAAACTACCCCTCAAATCCCATGGGCATTCCTTCAAAAAGTCGTCACTCACGGAGCTACCCAGCATGTGACCGACTGACCGAACCGAAAAGACTTTCTACTGATGCCTAGTTTTGTGTCTACCACCCGGTTACGAAGTTCAGCAGCTTTAATGCGATCAGTAGGTGTCCTCCTCCTCTAAAAAAGACAACGATGGATGTGTCGCGATATGTAACGTGTGTTGCATGACTGTTATTCATTGCTGAAAACTGACCAAGGATTCGGTTACCGATGAATTCAACATTAGAGGGGTCCACAGGCTGACTATCTTCAAAATATATAGTTCAAACTGTGTTCCAGATAATATCATTTGGACCAGTACCTGGATTGCTGTTTTGCCAACAAATCCATGTTCGACAAAACGAACGAACGCGTTGTACGTGAGCAGTACTCCAACGCAATATCATAGTCAAAACTGCTGTTGTTCGTTCGCGCACCGCCAATCACCAATGCCTGGCGTTTAGAATGTCCCGCGCAAGTGTCCGCACATTGCGCACCTCTCAACAAGAAGACACAAGGTATGATCAATGGAAGTGGTATTTCAATGACTGTTGTTACAGCTTGGGATGAATTACGAGGACTGGTGGGCAAGGAATTGAGGGTATTGGAGAACACAACTACGAAAAATAATTGCAGCACTCATGATCCAATGTACAATATCTGGTTTGGACGCTAGTCACCTCTACAGTGTTTTGGACCTCATGCAGAAAGAAGTCAATGCAAACACTTACAAGAATCGGGTACTGGTTCATTCCCATGAAGGTAACGTCAGAGGTAAGCAATCATGTTTTATTTGCCTGTTCAAGTAATCCAAGTCTACCTTCTGTCTTCCTTGTTCACGGCCTGGTTTCGGGTTCGAGTTGTTCCGTATATCCGAGACATGAAAAGCTGATCGAGGAGAATGAGGATGGGTGGCACATTCATAAGGGTTTTCAACAAACTTTGAGGAAATTTTTGCCCAAAGGGTGTCGAGTGTTTTCTCGGTAGTTTTGTGAATAGGCCTCACTGGGGGCAAGGCCATAGGCGATGCACGTGAGAGATCGTCTAAGGCTTCATTAGTTTGATCACGCAATTGCACATGCTGAGGCCGTCTGGACGCGATAAACTGATCCAACTCGGTTATGTTGACTTTAAAAGCCCGGTGTCTTCTTTTTCTGGATTCTGGTTTTGTTCTATTCCCCTCAAATATTACACGGCATGGGACAGAGGGAAGATCCAGCAAATCAATAGCCACTTCAGGAGCATAACTCCGACGACGTTTATAAACACAAACGTTCCCTTTCCTATCCAAACATACGCGGTTCGACGCTACGCTTGGAAACCGTCCACTAAGATTGCTGCCACAACATGCCTTCTGTTGTTCACTTGGGTTGAACTGGGCTGCGCATCCTACGCTCTTATGGTTTACTAGTGTCCAGGGTGTCAGCAGTGACTGTCTGGTCCGTAGCGACCATCCTTTCCTGAGGCGTGAAACTGTCTCCTCGAAAGACAACTGTTCTCTACGATGCAGCTCTAATGGTCGGATTTTATTGCGTGAAGTCTCACGCTCGAACTCAGTTGGTTGTCGCAAAGGTGTATTCCATTCTCCATCCGCATGGTTATCCAGAAAAATGTCAGTGACGGGATTTAGTCGGCTTGCGCGCATCGTGCTCCGCGAACAACCACCAAAGCGTGACGTTTAAACTGCTTGAAAACAAGCCTACGTCAAGTGCATGTCCAAAAGGCCAATCAGCGAAGAGTACCTTGTGATTTCATCACAAGACTAGTGTTCTAGTCAATTAAATTACATCGGGTCAATCAATAGATAAAAAGTACAAATGCAGACAACACGAATTCGGGTACGATTTCTTGATTGTAATTTCGAAAATTTCAATGTGATGTAAATCAACCGACACAAATTACGTTTCGCTCATTTTTGGATTCAAGTTGCGATTTCACACAGGCATTTTCGAATTTCCTCCGAGTGAAGTATTTGAAGGTGATAAGGTGGATTCAACACAAATCCAAGCAACCTAGAGGCCATGCCATGTTAAGCCATATATATATATATAT